TCGGATCTGTATAATTTTGGTACTATTCGAATCATTTTGATAAGTTGATTCGAATATAGCAAAATGTGGCAGGATATTCCTTTACAAAAGATTGCATACTGTAAGTTCATATTTTTTTTTAAAGCATAATTGCGCATTGTCTATTTTTAGTAGTATTTTAAATTATTTAATTTGTTTTACTCAAACAGGTATATGATGCCTTTGGCTCTTTTGGTGGTTTTTTTACGCTTTTGACGTCTATCATTAGTACCTTCATTGGTCTTTACTATGGTCTTTTCGGTTTTTTCGGTATCTTACTCACCTATTATTGAAGTTTTTGATCTTTTTATCCTTACTCTAACAGTGCTTTATTCATTATAATTAACAAATAGAAAACAACAAAGAAAACAACAAAGAAATCGAAGAAGAAATCAAAGAAGAAATCAAAGAAAAAATCGAAGAAAAAATCAAAGATCCTTTAGAATTTATTCAAGATTTGGTTCCATATAAAACAAAAGAAAAGAGATAGAAGAAAAAGTGGCTCAGTTATAAGTGGGCTCAATTAGAAGAGAAATCTAATGATATCGTTAATTGAGGTTTTCATTAAACATTTGTCAGATTTGAAAGATAATTAAAAAAAATAAATAATTTAGAAATAAATACAAAACTTATACTTTGTTACTATTAAAGCACATGATAAACATCAGTATATTTCTTTCTCTATATTAAAAATCACTATTTTTATAGTGGAAAATGGTATCTCAAACAAAATATTATGCAACAAAATAGTAGTTTGCAGCACATTTTACAAACTTATTCTTTTTATATTTTATTGTAATATATGTCAGGGATAATGCTGAAATCAGATGATGCTAAAATTTTAACTTATTTTTATACAAAATTTTATAAGTTTTTTTGGTGTGTTTTTTCAGCCTTTTTTTTAGAGTTAGGTTATGGTTTAGGGTTAGTGTTTATAATCAAAGAGTATATATTGGTTTTAGTAGTGTTTATATTTTTAAATTAAGACCTCAAATTTCAACATCATAAAATTAAAAAGAATCAAACCTTAAAAAAAAAATTGAATCAACTTCTTTTTGTTAAAATAAATAGTAAAATTGGGTCAATAATAACTTAAAATGGATAGTAAATCTGATAATAATAATAATAATAGTAGAGAAATTTCTAAAAGATAAAAAAAACTTTTAAAATAACTAGTTTATCAAAAAAAAGAAAAAAAATACAAACATAACAATATAAAATAGAAAGACTTTTTGCAATATATCAAATTGAAATAACTCAAGATAGAGAAAAAAAATATATCAAAAATATAATCCTATTGCAGTAACTCAAATTTCATATTATCAATATATTATTATATAATACAAGAATATAATATAGTACTTAAAAGTCTAATCAAAAAGATATTATTTAGTTTTTTAATATTTTAAATAATAAATAGTTTATATTATCTAAATTAATATAATAGATAAGAAAAAAGAACAAGTTATATTTAAACAGATTATAGAAAATATAAAAAAACATTACTGTAAAGGCTAGACCTGAACAGGCAAGAACCTTTAGGTGGGTTACCACCAACCAGGCCACTGGAATCACTGGAGGAAAAGGATATTGGGCTAACCTGATATACCAATAAACTGGCTGTAATTCTATCAGGCTATCTGGATTGGGAGTTTGAAAAAAAAGCAGGGGTATACTAAAGTACTAGGAATATGCAGTGAAGTAGATGCTGGGGTTTGGGTGAACTCTATTAGGGCATAGCAGTTTAATGATTAGTCCTAACTGCAAATGTTGGCTCTGCCATAGCGATACTAGGTCAGCTGTAAAATGGGTATATGGAAAGCTCTGGGAGATTTACCTTGAGGATAAAAATAGTCTAAGGATTATAGTCTTAAGGTTGAGACAATATTTTTATTTATTTGTTATTCTACCATTGATTTGTTTATCTATTTGTCCCAAACTGAAACCACTCAAGAAATATTTACTGAGTACCTGATCGATGAAGATAAATTTATTTATGTAATATGCGATGATGACGAAACATTAGAAAATGAGAATCACACAGCGAATGACGATATTGGCAATACATTTCAAAAACAATCTACCTATACAAAAGAAGAAGTACTTAAACTCCAGAGCCCAGTATTGCCCGGAAATGTGGTTTCTGATTTTTTGACTCTTAAAACAAGAACTCGATAGTGCTTATAAGTATTACATGACGGTAGAGATGTAGTCCGTAAATTACAATACAATAAATAAACATTTTACAATAAATAAACATTTTACAATAAATAAACGTTTACAATAAACTATATTTCCACGTGATCCACATGATCCACATGAATGGAAACAAAGGTTATTTTCAAGTTACGTATAATTCATTTTTGGTGTGGTTACAGTTTTCGGCACATAAATATTCCAATATTGTAAAAAACCTCCTACATTTTTACTGGGTCTTGAATCATGCAATTGTTCGAGATCTTCATTAATTTCGATGACCAGTTCAATAATTTCTTGTAAGGCATTCTGCAAAGAAAATAAATAATTAATTTTGTAATAAATTTGCAATTGTAGAATTCGAATGAACATACTCTAAGACACCAAAAATTTTCAATCAAAATCTTCAAATAACTAGTTTCAGAATACGTTTTTGGAATGGTAATCGTAGATAATGGATAACAAATATTAATTCCTTTTTTCATATCTAGTGAGTAAAAAGATATTTGAAACCCTGCAAGATAAATCATTTTTTAATAAAAATTATAATAATGTTAAGTAATATATAATTTTTAGTTACGAAATATACCAAATCCAATAGCAGCATATACTTTTATTTGATGAAGTTTATTCACTATATTATCAGTAAACCGATCCTTATAATTGGTTATAAAATACTAGCAAGTAGGAAAATAATTTAAAAATATGGTAATTTCGCCTTTATTTTATTATATATCTTACTGGTATTTTAAGTCAGTATGACAAGTTAAAGGTAAAAAATATTTAAGGCTGGCAGCTAATAAAGGAATCAAAGGCCATGGAATTGTGTGATAAAAATTACATTACTTATAATCAGGGATGGTAAATGACTTGAAATGACCCAAATGACTCAAATGACTAGTGACCAGTCATTGGGTCATTTCACATTCAAATGACCATAGAAGGTCATTTAACATTTGTTAACTGATAATCTAACGCTTTTTAACCAATCAACTTTGATTATTAGACATACTAATAAAGTAATTTTTTATAAAATATTATCGATAATCGTAGCTACATATAAAAGTCAAAATTTACTAAGTTCATTGATATTTTAATCGATTTAAGTTGTTCTCTTGAACAACTTTACTTAAGATATAAATTTTGATTAACCTAGTAAAATTTTGACTTTGGCGCTTGATAACTTTTTATATTAGCTACCTGACCAATAAAATTACTTTACATGTAAATGACCTAAATGACCTAATGACCCAGATGACCAGGTCATTTACACAAATAACTTGGTCATTTAAATTTTGAGTAAATGACCTGGTCATTTGCCATCCCTGCTTATAATTGGTATAAGTAATCTGACCGAATATTAGTTTTAGGCGCTTTACATTTTATGTTATTTGAAATATTTTAA